CAATGGACAAAGGCCGGTCGCGGTGCGCATAGCAATCAGGACAAAGACTCATTGGCCAGGCACATCAGCTCCGAATGCATAGCATCCTTCAACGGTGTTGTTATACCCATAAAATAGATGCCCATTGAAATCGCTACTTGAATTATAACCTTATGATGATATTGTAAGGAGAGGCTAGTAGGTACTGCAAAATATGTAGAAGACATAAGTTTTAAGATTGAGTTGTGTTATCCAGTCATTCTTCTTCGCTGTGGATGTCAGATCGACCGTTGTTCTTATTTTATATTTTCGAAACGAGATAAGATATAATAACGAAATTATGTATTTATCCTCTTTTCGCTGTATAATCATATCGGACTTTGTTCTTGGGATGAATCGATTTGCAAAACGACAAGTTTTATTGGAAAGGGATTTGACAATTCTAGGTACGAACGAATTTTATAGCATTTTTATAACAAAAAAATCTTTTATTTCAGACAACAAGTTCCATAATCTGTAAGTAATAATAGGAAAAGACCTTATAGATTACTGTTAATAGATATTTTACATTTTTATCAGTCAAATTACCTTCCTCACAAAGCACTGTCACATGGGAGAGGTAATCCTTTTCTTTTCTTTGACGGGGGGGAAATCTTTATTGGGAGGTAATCCTACCAGCTACAGTTTGTAGGGGTTGTCCCGCACTATGCGCATCAGAGATGCTGTCTTTTTCCGGAGGATGGCAGCAAAACCACCCGTCTCATATTCGGAAAACATCCCCGATGCACTGCAGAAATTAGGCAAACCCCAACATTAACCCAAAAATATAATTGTATTGTACACGTAGGGTCTCTAGCGGCCGTTTGGTGTAGTTGAATGGCTCTGGTTCCTGGTGCAGAAACTTTAACAGTAAGCTTTAAAAAGCGGTATTTTTACATAATTTATTTCATGTAAGTAGTTCGTGTTATTTTAACGACATTGATTTGATAAAAGTACTTTTCAACTATAATCACAAGTGGCTTTATTTATACCAATACCATACGTAGTAAGCCAGAACCGAGACACAACGACACGAAATCGTTAAAACAACGTCCAAGAGTGACCAAGATCTAACGATATCGACTTAATCATTTATAAACAATTTGCCTTTTTCGTAATATCAAGTGACGGGACGATCAAGTGGTGCGTCTGGTGGTAATCTACACGCCTATCTATTACAGTTGCAATGCCACTCAGAGCTTTAAATCGCAAAGACCTGAAGGGCACTGTCACTGCACCCATCACCCTGAGACATAATTTGACAAGTCCCATGTGCTTGTAATTTCACCAGCACCCTTACCCTTCAAAAACCGGAACGCAGTAATGCTAACATTACTGCTTGGCGGCAGAAATAGGTAAGGTGGCAGTACTTCCCGGCCGAACTCTTTCACAAGGAGCTCTACTGCTACTAAAAACTTGTGGAAACATAATTTGTATAGAAATTGACATGTAACAAAATAAGTTTTTCTCTGTGCCCAACTAAACATTGGGCATACTATTATGTTGAGAGCACATGATATATTTATCACATAAACTTCGGGAAAATATACTAGGTGTTATATGTTGTGTTGTAAATAATACCTAATATTACATGTATAGGTATGTACCATGGATGAAACGGATACGTGTGATCAAACAAAACGAGTAAATGTGTAAGCAATTTAATAGACGATCGACTACGTATTTTTTGTCGATTGACACTGTGAAATTTTAATAAGGCAATTTGTTCGATTTTAGCCTTGATATTTATCGATCGCTTATAATTAAAAGTAACGATCGACGTCATAAATCGAGCAAATCGGTAGTCAGCTATTATATACTCGATGTCAGCTATTGATCGTCAAAACACACTATAATATTGAGCGACAGTAACGATCGATCATCAAAAATCGTGCAAATCTTTAGACACTTTAATAAGTCAATCAACCTAAAATTTAAAGGACAGTATAGGTTAATTTTAATGATAATAAGCAAAATTTGTATCCAGGTCTGTGTAATTTGTTGTTTGTATTTTGTAAGCAATATTTTACTTAAATACGTATCTATTGAAGATCATTGTTAGATCGTTGGCCGCTGCGTAGTTTAAACAAGTGCTTACATTTATAGATATTTACACAAGAAATACCTGGAAATAGTTGCGTAAATATAGTAACGTCCTCTGTCCGACTTCAAAAACCTCGTTACTTGCGAAAGGGATACATTTGGTTAAATGACTTTCGCGAATATGATCTTGATGGCAAAAACAAATTAAAGCCATTATAAAACGCAATATTGCGGACTACTTTCCTTTAAAAAAACTGTCCATTCGCCCTTTCCTTTGTACCGTACCGATATTTGGAATTACCGTCCCGCCTTTTAGAAGCGCTACACAATTTGCATTCATTGACTTGAGAGTGTTTAAGATCTAAGTATACAATTAGAGAAAACAGCTAACGACAGCGAAACTCAGCTTTCTATTTTCTTTCAATTTCTCAAAATGAAACTGTCATGTGAATTCTAAGGCATACCCACACGTGACAATTTTAGGGGTTTCCTCTTTACATTCAAAATTGCTTTCTACTAATATATTATATACAAAAAATTAAAAAATTGTCTTCCACTTGCCAATACGTAAGAAGACGACGTTAGAACAAAGCCAGCTTATTGCTATGTTAACCACAGTATTTACTGTGTTAAGCAAAGCATCAATTGTAATAAAGCTGGCAGCTGCCAGACGTTCTTTATTATCATACCCTTCACCCCGCACGCTTAATAAACTCGCCTGAAACAGAGCAAAAAGAAAACTTACACGTACACAAACTAATAAACATTCGCAGTAACGCTTCGTTTATCCTGATATTGGTTTTTCCTGTGGATAAATAAGGTACAATAATAAGTTTCCTAACAAAGTAGGTAACCGATTTTTAGTTAAGATTTATTGTTTTCAAGGAACCACTATATATAAGATTTATTGGCACGCTAGTTGTTTCATGGCCCCGCTGTACCATGCATGACACTTAATCACTGCTTTTTTGGCATTGGCTGTCAATATATGCAGTTATTTGATACTCCACTTCGTGTAAACTAGATGGTACGAGTATAATAAAAATTCAAGCAATTTAATTTAGTAAAATGCTTAGTTTTATAGACGTTAGTTAGTTCATGTGTTTCGGTAAAGTTTGTTATTTGTGATTTTTAATTTTTATCGTGACACGCGCGTGTCAGCGTCTTTATTCTAATGCTGTTATTATAAAACAAATTTTGATTTCGACTAAGGAAAAATCGCAAGTTAGGCAAGTTTTTCGTATTTACAAAATAATCCCCCTTCAGTTTAAGCAAGAAATTAAATTCAACTTTGATTTAGTTCGTAATTTTTTGCTAAAACTTTGCTAAAGCTCGATTTGTAAATAGATAGATAAAACGCTTTATCACTAATATAAATTGAATACAAAACGAAAAATAAAATATGAAAACCTTGCTTAGCTCGACATTTTAGTTCAGTCGAAGTTCGTTCCATAAATCTCAGCAAAGTGTAGCGATTGACCCCTCCAGTCGTGTTATATTCGCCGTAAATGTGTAGAAAATATGCAGATCCTAACAATACTTTCGAAGCAATTCGATATAGCTGTGCTGTGTGAAATTGATTACTATACCTAGGTATAGCAGCTACAGTTGAGCATAGTAAATGGATTTCTGAGTTAGATAAATAATAAGATTTACGTAGGTACCTACAAACTTTACATTAGTTTCATTATAAACAGTCAACTTTTTCTACGCATTTAAAAAAAATGCTCTTATTATTCCGAATCCTAAAACGTAAAGCTCCTTGTGAAATCATTCCTCCAGGAAAGTATTACCACCAAGCAATAATGTGGGCGTTACTGCATTCTGGTTTAGAAGGATAATAAGGGTGCTGGTGAAACTACACGCAGAAGGGGCTTGTCAACTTTGTCCCAGGGTGACCGGCGCAGTGTTAATGCCTCTCAGACTTTGCAATTTACAGCTCTGAGCGACAACTGTTCGGCGTGTCGCTTACTACCAGACACTATTTGTTCTTCCTGATGGGATTTCATATCATAAAAAAAAACTAGAAAATCAATAAAAAGAATCAAATATTGTCGTACTGGTCCATCTTAGTATTAAGAAAATTTTGTAGTAGTTAGCTGGCTCCAACTTAGGCGTAACTCATCTCATAATGTTAAATGATGTCATTATGTTTTTTACAATGCAAGGTCGCACTGCATAAAAGGAAGTGAACCTTCATACTGTAAAACAAAAATTAATAAATCACAGAAAGTAACACGTTCTAAATTGAAAGTGGCCGCATATATGTGTATAACAAACGTGTTCTATACATTTTCGTAATCGTGTGCATTTATTAAATAACGTTTCGTCGGTTTACTAGTACACTTTATTTAAAATGCACTGATCAAAGAATTGGCTCGAACACACTGATGAAGATAAATTGCAGAAAGTCTTTAAATTGTAAAAGTGGGTTAATTCAATAAACGCTAGAGTCGTTTCATTGAAAATCAAAACAATGTATTGTCTAAACAATACGTACAATAGAGGCGAGCGATTACAGAAAAATAAACAACGACTCACCAGTAACAGCGGCTCGTCTTTCGCTCTTAGTGCTACACTTCCAGAACCTCATGACGAAGGCATGCGGTTACCGATCAGTCAGTGTAGAGATGACACCACGCGCGCCCGCTAAGGCAAGTGGGCATCGGCAAACTGCTCGATTGGGGCCGAAACAATGACTTTTGTTTACGAATTGGCGGCGCGGCGGATTTATTAAATTGTCGAGTGAAGTGCCCGGCGGGACCAATGATCCGCAGTACGAGTGCGACAGACGAATACCAACACAATCTCCGGTTGCAACTGTCCTGTTGAAGGAAGGCGTGGGAGCTTGATCCAGTTCCAGGCCTTTACTTCAACGATCACTTAATTTAAGAAAATACATTAATGGATTAGATATAATGAAAAAAACTTTAAATTGCGTAAAAAAGTTTTAATTTCTATCACATCATGTCTTCCTACGATAATTAATTTGGAACATAGATGCCGAATATCATGCATAGGGCAATCACTACGATTCGAAGCAAGGTTTTGAACAAATTTATTTCAGCGTAACCGAAAGTTTGTCGATAACTGTAATAAATGTTTGGCAGTACGCAACTGGAATTTAGGAAAGGATTCTTGCGATTTTAGGTGTAATAATTTATAACACACTCGTTCGCATTGGTAATTTACTTTAAAAGGTGCATTGTGTTATAGCTGCCATTTGAACTGGATGATGGGGGCAAACTTTGAAACAAAAAAGGCTCTAGAATGTTTTTACTAAAGTTACACATAATTTTAACATATTATTTTGCATCTATAAACAATTTTGGACCACGCTCCGAATCTAATTGGTTATTGCACTATAAAAATACACGGGATAAGCATATCTTCTAGGCACATTTCTGTACTATCTATAGTTATATTGATTACACACTTCTATTAATTACATAAATTACGCTAAACCTATTTTAATGAAAAAATAAAATGAGATTTTTCATTATTTTACTGATATATCAGATTTATAAAACACTAATAAAAATACATGGATGATTTGAATATCATCAAAAGTGCAAAAGTAGTTTTAAAAATTTAATACATACGCACACATATCGAAGAAACCATATTACTTGCACCCTTATGCTTTCTTCAGATTGTTCGAATTTACAGTCGCAGCACGTAGCGATAACTCGTTTGTAAAAGAAATTGTGTTTATATAAACAAGATAATTAACTTCATTTTCTGTGACTTTTTTTAAATAATATTCAAATGCTACCAACTAATTTGTAACATAAATTAAGATAGATAATTGTGATTTTATACGAACATCATAAGGACTACATTGGTTGCAGTGAATTGTCTTTAAAATTAAATTGCACTTAAACCGTGCATGTACTTTTAAGTCTTAATACGATATTAATCTTTTAAACTTAAATATCTACCTAAATCAAATGAGGATTATATGAGGGGAAAAAGTATTTCTCATTTAGTAATCGATATGCATTCAGACAAGATATCCCGAAAGTAAAACGACAGTGAGATGAAAGATGTTTGTGAAGAACAGAAAGAAATATATATTATTTCTATACAAACACATGATCGACGTCATAATATCAAGGCACTGCATTTTAATAAATTTTCATTTGAATCAGTGTGATGAAGAAAACTGTACTTTAGTAAATAATGTACCCGCTACAATCGTTTTTCTCAACTGCACTGGTGATCTTTAATAGAAAAATCACAAATAAAAAAAAATCATTACTTAGCTAATTCTAATATAAATTGTGTAACATGTTTATACTTAACTACACTAGTTATCAGCCAGCGCTTAAATCAATACTGAAAGTTGTAACCTACGAATATCCTTGTTACATTATTGCCAAAGTTACAAATGGCTACAAAAATTACATTTGATAACGGGAACTACCGATTTGCGACCATTAGGTCGATAAAGAGATCTTAGGTTACGTAAATAGGTCTCTGTTCGCCTCCGTATTGTTCGCGATTTCCACAGCGGCAATTACCTGTGCAACCACAGTTTCGTTCTCCTGTCAATGTCTATACCAAGCACCTTGTACGCGCGTCTGGAAGTGGGACACGGGAGTGACGATGTACGCTTGCGGCGGCTGCTGGACCACAGCAAGCGGGATTACCTGCTGCGCCATTTCCACCTGTTGCCCACTCTCTTCTGATACGCCCAAAGGTTGTAAGTGTTGCTGAGTAACTTGCTGCACACCTCCAACTTGTTGATTGAGCACCTGCTGGTGCTGGCTAACCTGCGGCACTAGCATCTGCTGCTGCATGGTTTGTTGTTGCTGTGGCTGCTGCTGGTGGATAACCACGTGCGGCCCTTGATTTTGCATCTGTTGATGCTGCTGTACTTGCACTTGTTGCACTTGCTGCTGTTGTTGTTGCTGTACCTGTTGTTGCTGCTGTTGAGCCTGTTGCTGTGCATGCTGTTCACGCTCATGCTCTTCTTTCTTCTTAGCTTCTAAAGCTGCCTTCTTCGCCTCAGCCTTCTCCTTTTCTTGTTGTATTCTAACAGGGTCTTTATTCTTATCGTAAGACATACATTTACCACTGCGGAATGGCGCCATATCTTTGGGTAGGTCCTGCTTTTTCGTCGCAAATTTGACATGCGGGAATTGATCTTTCATGAAAGCTCTGAATGTGGAGTAGCCCATTAATTTAACACCAGGTTCCAGGATTTCACCATACTCTTTGTAAGCCTCAAATAAATGTTTCCGAGAATCTCCCGAAATGATAACTGTTTTGCTGCCTTTTTTACCTCCTTCCCCTGATGGCTGAACATCTTTGGGTGAGCTAGCATGTTGTTTTAAGTATTCTTTGAGAAAGTTGGTTGCATGTTTGTAGATGTCTAGGGTGAAAGTATTGTAAGGTTTCTTGCCGACGTTGCCGTGTATTCTGGGAGCAACGCCATGTGTCATTACGTGCTGTCTGATACGCTTTAGCTGATAGTGTGTCACATTTTCTAGATATAAAAATGCTTCTAAACAAACCTTTCGACCTTGATAAACATAACACGCGCGTAGTCTCCTTCTGACCTTGTGCCGCGATGTTTCTGCAGGATTCGCCAAACTGGCCATAGTGATGCCCATCAAATACATGTCGTGTTCACTTTTAGTCAACTCAGCAATATTCAATCTGTGCCGATACACAGCCTCAGGATTAAGTCCACGATAGCAGTTATCTTTGCAATCACAGCCTCTCATAAGTCGATCCTTTACCTGGAAGTAAGAGTATGAAATTTGATTAGGTTTAATTTGTTATTGACAGCATGAAGGGTCTGTCTCTGTACACTTGTAAAACTAAGATTGTAATAAAAGGGGGTCACTATGCCTTATCACAATGAAGACTAAAAGGAGTTTAATGTAAAATATGCCTTATCATTCTAAGCATAGTCAACAGCATGCTGGGCTTTACACTTTGAACCTTAGACTGTCTTATCTGGCACAGTTGTATTCATTTCATTGTAAGGTAGAATTTTTTTCTATTATTTCATGATAACTCACAGCATTTATTAACTTAAGACAAGTTTCTTCATCTAACAGAATAAACAATGACAGGCTTGGCAGCTCAGCTAATAAGCACTGTGTGTGTTGGACGACAAAGGTTTAATTTCTGGTAGAACTGATTTGGTCTGTGGTTTTGGGTAGCACCCTGGAGTTCATTTTGTTGGATTGTTTGGTTATCTACAACATAATTATTATTTGGTGTACTCCTATGCACCTTCAGGTTCTTTATTGACTATCTACCAAGTGAGATCCATTTGGAAACTAATATTTGTACTGTAAAAATGTGGCAATACCTGGGCAGGATTGTCCTCTAACTTGTTATCAAAAGTATCATCATCACTGTCTGATTCCGCTTTTTTCTTTTTCTTTGCAAATGTCTTCTTTTCAACTTTAGGCTTAGTGTCAACTTCCATATCTGGAGGTTCAACTTCAACTGTAGCAAATTGTATATTATACTGCTGGGTAATTCCTTGCATGTTGCCATCACCGTTTTCGACTTGTATGGTATGACCTTGCCAGAGAACCTGAAAACGTGGTTATTGGTTATGATTAAGGTCAAATTAAATGAATATGTAAAAAGATGCTTTAAGTTATATAGTTTACAAACTTAATAATATTTTAGATAATGCTATTTGAAAAGAGTGTCGTTACCTGTTCCTGATGTCCATTATAGTTATGCTGCTGTATGTTTTGATTACCGCCCATTTCAAAAACGGAATGTTGGCCCATGACAGGCGTGTGCCACTGCGCGCTCTCGCCATACTCGCCGCCGCCGTTCTGGTCTGGCGGAATAGACACGATGATCGCCTCTTTGCTATCCACGCTGCGCCGCTCCACGGACAGAAGCGAGTGGAGAACCTCGCTTGCTTCCTTTTCAGCCGGATTCACCACTTCCATCTTCTCGAACGACATCCTGTCTCGGCCCCAACGCTATAACCGATCGCTCACGTCAATCACATGTACGTATACGTGTATGTACAATGAACCCGCCCTGATACAATACAAAAGACATTTTTCACAATTATAGGGTTATGTACGAGAATACCGCGAGATAACTTTTCAAATTCATGTAAATAAACATAACAAAAATCGTGCAATTATTAACCTTAATCGCATTTTTTAAGTTTCATTATCGCATAGCGGATCGAACTCCCGTGGAATATTGGGCCATATAGTCATAGCAAAGGAAGAATGAAACTCACCTTTTTCGCCTAAAATCACAAGTTGTGATGCACAAAAATGTGTTCCCACACTTACTGATCCACCTTGGTTTATTTTACTTCACTTCATTTTCGTATTGTAGTCATAATTGAAGAGAAATTAACAATTATTTCACTGAATTCACGGAAGCAATATGGCGATACACTTTTCCATGAACAAAATCGGAGGACGCCGTAGAACACGTCGTTAGTACACTTCGCCGCCACCAGAGACCTCGCTGCGCAAACAACGCGTTTCCGTATCGACGCAGAGAAAAAGCGCGGTAATTTTGAAAAGCTTACACGTACAACATTGAGCTAATGTTTCCTTAGATTAATTCAAATTAGAAATGAATAAAATGTTCAATTTTATTTTGTGAACGTATCCATGATTATTATTATGTATAGTAAATAATTCCAACGGATGATAATGTATACGATTGTGGTACAGAACACATCCTAAATATATCTTATTTGGAAAACTAAAATAGTGGTTTAGAAGCGTGATTTTCCTTTTGTAGATGCCTCTGGCCAGCAGTGGTATTTTATAGGTGCGGTGGAAATCACATTTAAAATAATAATGACCTGCTAACTTACTAACTATGTAGTTTGTCAGCTATGTAACTTACGAAGAAAAAGAATGATGTTCTAAGTTTGACGGCGTAGTCAGTCTGTGTGTATGTGTTTTTGTATTTGTAATTAGAAACTTTGAATTTACTTCGATTTGCTAATGAAATCTTCAATTCTGCACATAATAAATACTTTTCAAACTATGAAATAACAGCTAATTCAGCGCAGATTTCATATGCCTCAGGTTTCTTACATGTTTTGTAATTAGCATACGTAATTAATCCTATTTACACCAGTAAAATATTTGTCTGAACATAAATTAATGAATGTAATATTTTTTTTCTTTCAGACTCGTAATTTGCACTAGATTTGTCGCTAGTCTATAGCTCTGTTAACATGTACATCATTGCATAGCTATGGAACACTAATACTTTCTACCTTAGCGTATATTTATACACTTGTACGTCTTCTTTAGACTGCTACAGCTTAGAATGCAATATAAGAACAAAACGTATCGTAAGTGTAAGTAGTCGTACACGTAATAGGTACGTATAGTAAAATTATTTTTAATATTACAATGCTATGAACTCATATTTCGTTCAGGAAGGTATTGTTTTTCACGCATTGTTAAAAATATCTCTCACCGTTTGTACGTGTGCAATGTTCCTGATTTTATTTGTAGGTATACATATGACGTGTATAATGCAGAAACTAAAATGTAATTCGGAAATAAAAACCGTGGTTCGTGCAACATCAATTATTCTCCACGCATCCTTTCTAAGCATGAATTTAGTTTTGATAATACCACGGTATACAAAATAAATGAAAAGCGTTATGTAAACAACGAACGGAAAGGGTCCGCAACCACGTGGAACCAAGTTCAATGTTTTTTGGAGGACCACATACGACCACCTTTGGAGGACAACCTATGCCATTGAAAGTTATACAACGTCAGATTAGATAGATTATTTCTACTAAATTATATTATTTTTATAAAAAAAATTCACGTATGTCATTTTTTACTTGGTGGGTTGTTAAAATAAAGATAGTGAAATTTTGTGTGATTTTAACTAATGTTGGATCATGGAAAAATTTCTATTTAAAAAAAAACATATTTTTCTCAAAAAATAAATATTGTTTTGGTATAAAAAATATTGGCCAATTTTTGCCAATGTTTTTGTCATGTTTTTCCACATTTGAAGTTGCACCTGACAAAAGTTGAAGTTACTGAACGAAAACGATGGAATCACAAAAAGGTTATTTTTTGGCTGTTTTCCAATCATTTTAAAACTTGCTTTTCTTTAATTTGCTTATAACTATATAATTTTATTTTAAAATTCACGCTAAATAAAACTTTAAAAGATATTTCTAAACGAAGAACATAATATGAGCCTTCCAATTTATTTTTTCAATATTTTTTAATTTTTCTAACTTTCCAGAAAAATTTCCACTATTTCAAATTTCGAAAATTATCTCACCAGTATCTATAACTATCGCAAGGGGCACAAAACGCTCATTTGACTGACTTCCGTTATGATCAAGCAACTCCGCATTTCGGGGGACAATGGTAAGTAAATGTTAAGTGACTAAATTGAAAAATAATTTGGAAAATGACAAAATAGATTTAAAAAAAATTGTGTCACGGGCTATTTTCCGCAACGCGACGACCCAATTTTGCAAAAAAATACATATATCTACTTGGCATTAGCCTTAAAAACCTTTTAGAGCCATTCGGATGACGTCAAATATAACAAATTGTGTTTTATACTGAAAAATAATAATGTATATTATAACATTTGTATGTATTTTGTTTCATACGTATTTATTTCTATAATTTTCCCAAAATACTACTTTTTGAATTTCTTAAACTTTATTACTGCGCACACTCAATTATGTTATAAACCTTGATACTTTCAATTTAGAGCTCTTATTGGTTAATGTTTGACTTTTGTATGACTTTTTAGATAGACAAAACGACAATCTACGATGTTCTGCTTGGAATAGATATACAGAAATGAAATATTAATATATATTGATAGGATTTTTGAAAATAATTTTTTTTTTTATTCATTAAGGCTTTGGCAAAGCCATTAGCCTAAGCATGAAGTTTAATTGTGTTTAATTTGAGGCGGCGTGCTGATTGACTCGGGATTCCTTAAAACGGGCCGATACGGGTATTCTAGTTCGAGATTCGTATAATTTCATGTTTTAATCTTCGATTACGGCACAATAGCACTATCCTATTCCACTTTAAACTAGATTTCACAAAATAATTGAAAGTCAAAATAAAAACTAAACTTTTCCCTCCAAAAGGTCCAGAGCGCATCAAAATATTTTAATGTTTGAAATCGTTGACAAATAATGACATAAATTATGTTTCAGTGTTTACTGACAGCGCTAAAAACTTGCCAGGTAAGAAAAGAAGGTAGGAAATTACAAAAAATAATTTACAAATCTAAAATTAAAAATACTCTACTATCACTTTACTGTACTCTATTCACTTCCGGTTTAATTTATTTTTTTTATTTTAAGTTTTTAAGGCTTTGGCAAAGCCATCAGCCTAAACATGAAGTTTAAATTATGTTTCTGTAAATATGGCCGCCACAAAAAGGATAGACAATTTGAGGCGGCGTGCTAGGATTGACTCGGGATTCCTTAAAACGGGCTGTTACGGGTATTTTAATTCGAGATTCGTATAATTTAGCGTTTTAATCTTCGATTAAGGCACAATAGCACTATCCTATTCCACTTTAAACTAGATTTCACAAAATAATCGAAAGTCAAAATAAAAACGACACTTTTCCCTCCAAAAGGTCCAGAGCGAATCTCCCGGTTTGTTTTTCTTAAATTGTCATTCTTTGGACGTAATTGTTGTGCAAATAATGTAAAACGTCAAAGATCGCAGTAAAAGCGCGCCAATAATAATGTCTGTATTGTAGTACTTGTGGTTATTTACTGCTATCAATATTTTCGTAATAATGTAATTAACTTCCCGTTACTGATTGTTAAGATAGTTTTAAAAGAATCCAGATGATGGTGAAGGCAAGACTATTGTTGTTGAAGGTACTAGATAACTATAATTGAGTATATCGCCACCTATGTCGTTGTTGTTTGCTACTGAATGCTTTGCAAATTAGAGACAGCCTAGACATTTCTTATTGGAATGTAAAATTGCTTTAATCGCTCAGTAAATAATTATCTTAACATGCCAATTTCAAAGTTTTTTCTTTATTTTGTTTGGATATCTAGTCACGTGCACAACCAAACATAAAATTCCTAAACTACTATATGGTTTGTGATCGTGACGAAATTTAACAACGCGCAATGATTTTCCAGCATTTTTATTATGGGCATTTAGTTACACATTCGGAAGTTCGTAGATATATTGCTAATCTAGCATTGGCTGGCACTTACCAACCGCAGTATCCAGGGCGAAGCAGCTACTGCGTGATTTTACTACCGAGCCTGGTGAAGGACCATCAGGCCATTCCATCCGCTCCTCCATGGCTTTAGAAGCACTTCTTTTAAACTGCTCCAAAAAACTGTCAATTTGCGTCTCTATGCTGGTTGGCGAGTTCGCCATCGTTTCCACCGAAACACCGAAAACAAACACAACACTACCCCGCCTGCAACATTTTACGCCCAATACCTCAATTTCTCCAGTTTTCAGTATTACTCATGGGTTTCGGAACCTCTAAAATACCCCGCATGGCATAATTATACGTCATGTTTGCGCCAAATTCGTTCATCGACCCCAGCTTCCGCACAAAAATATCAAAGAAGACCGCGGTGAACGCGAGATATGAAAGAAACTACCTATTGGTCGCACTTCGCAGTGATTCTACTACGGATACCGTTATGCTATGTATGGCATCGAAAATAAAGCGACACCCACCGACATCTATCGATCTTTGCTAACAGCTGTTCTGATGTTGCCAGTTACAATAAAGCAATGTTGCTGTAGGAGAAAATGGCTTGTTGATGAAGTAAATTTATTGCAGCCTACGCTTTCCTAAAAATAAAATATGCCGTGTGGATTGTTTGACTACGTAGTATTTTTATGAGGTAATAAATATACGTGACGTACAGCAAATTACGCATGGACGGCGACTAAGCTGTTGTGTGCATAGGCTATGTGACGTTTTCCTCTCGGGTGCGGGGGCAGCAATGCTGGCAAGGAGCGAGGGGATCGCGGTCGCCACCGGCGCGGCACACGCTGCATGCATTCGTTAGTGGTGCGCAAGGAGCGCGTGTAGTAGTCTGTGATATTAGAGGTGACTGGAACTGTCACACGCGAGACTACACCCGGCCACATAATGTCAAGTAAGTCCCAACAACATTTAACCATCTCGGATTTCATTACCATTCTTCGTAATATTTTATACCCTGCATCTGTAGTATCCTTTAGCTTCAAAACAGATGAATTCAGTTAATAACGAGAAAGCAAGGAAATGGGTTTTATGGAAATCAGTTGACATTAAAACATCTTACGTATTTCAACTGTGTAAAAATTAGGGTAGAGTTAAAAATAGTTTCCAATTTTAATGTTCCACAAATTTCTGTAATTAACGCTACTTCGTTTGTGTTTTAAGTATTCACTTAAATATATTTAAAATTTTATTTAAAGTTATATGCGTTCATGGAAAAGTTTGAAAATCAATGTAATTTTTAAGTGATTAGGGCTCTCGAAACTTATTGAGGAAAGTAGGTACTGGTACGCTACCTTCCTACCGAAATTTCTTTAAAAATTTTTTGATGAATCTTTGTGTATACTTAATAATAATTGAACTTAATTGTGAATATTCGAATTAATAATAATGCCTATGTACTGATAAATTTGCATTCTCGTAAAATGATAAATTTAAATTTTTCGATATAGTCATAAAATCTGGACAACCTTGAGTTATTCTGGTCAAACTGCGTCCGATTATCACTGTTGACACTGTAAACACCTGCGCCATTATTTTCTTCTAATCTTTGAGGTAATATCTACACACCGTATATCGATCAAAAAAGATCGACTCTTGAGTGATATATCAATGCACAGCCGAAACTACTGAAAACAGTATACATATATCTATATACATAAAAAATAATTTGGTTTGTTAAAAACTGAGTGTATCTGAGGAAATTGTATACCTTATCTTAAGAAAGCAGTGGGAGTAGAGCTCCTTGTGGAAGAGTTCGTTTTTTTCATTCGTTCCACAAGGTCTCTTACGGAATCCCTTTTTGGAAGGGTAAGGGTGCTGGTGAAATTATAGGCACATAGGGCTTATCAACTTTATTTCTCAAGGTGACAGGCGCAGTTGCAGCGCCCCTCAAGTTTTTGCGATTATAGATCTGAGTAACACTGCAACTGTTATTTGTGGTTGCTTACCACTTGATATGATAAAAAAGGAAATCATTATAATATTTTTTTTTTGTTAATTTTTTCATAAGTATGTTTAAATGAGGGTAAAACGAGTGCCAAAGTCTGTTGGGAAATTCCTGATGTTTATTATGTTGGTGTGAATATTTACAAGTAAACATAGAAATACAAACGTTTAAAATTTTCACCACTACCCAAAAAAGGATAAGCTAGAGTTTAAAAAATTTTTGTAGTAAAGTCGTTTTACATGTACCTATATATTATCTTGAAACTCTTCAAGACAGTTGTTCTGCTTGCTAATCTACGCATAAAGAGGACGACATGGGGTAAATCTATATAGCACAATCGTATTTTTTGGTAAAAATATTGATTTAAAACTTCAAAGTTTTAAAATGATGAACGACGTATTCTTTAGATTTCTAATGAAACCCCGTGGTTCAGTTTATGTAAGCTTAATGTTACTTTTGCTCTATTGATTGAAGTGAACACTTTTGTAAAGTTATGAAAACTTATATATAAAGAGAGAATGGTGGTGTTGCAGCTTTCGACGAAAATGGTAAGTCTATCGACCTAAAACTTGATACTGCAAATTGGTGCTCAAAAATTTTTCAAAAACGCTCACTTTTTGAGTATTTCGAAACTACCGCTTATAAATTAATACAAAACTATAACACAATAGTTTGCTTTCCACCGTATTCTGTGAAAAATAAACCTATTTCCACGTAGACCAAACGGCGGTAAAATGCTAGTCTTTTACAGTTTATTATAAAAATATATGAGTATGAAGTTTAAACAACATCAAGGACAAGTTGAACATTATTACTATATTGTAAACTATATGGCGTTATCAGTAAATACATTCATAAATAGCAAGAAGCATAATCAACACACGTAATCAGTTTCAGTTGCTGTTCTAATCTGCAGTAGTCTTGACTCACGGTCAAATTATTGTTGTTTAGTTCATACGTAACAAACACTAGTTTTTCAAATTCATTAACAAGGTAAGTTGTATAACTAGTAACAGTAATTTTACTCATACAAGTCATACGATATTGTTGTAATTGAGATAACACTGTTTTTTAAAGTGTGGAGTTATGGCTCACGAGGTTTGTGGTTTCTTGTTGTTATTCTATATCAGCCACAAAGGTTCATCCGATCTGGTTGTGGCTGATCTGGCGCCGGCAGTATTTTTACATGGGAAATACTGAGTACATAAATAAAAATCTTTAAAATATTTTCCTGCTGTCTAAGTACGATCACGTTTAATAAACTTCTTGAGGATCATTCAATAGTTTTTACCTATATTTCAATGACAATAAAAAATACATTGATTTATAATATACGTCCTGAATTGCATTTCGATTGCATGTAAATATTTAATAGCGTGTTGAGCATATAATTTTTAAACTTAGAAAGTGTAGTAAAAAGTTGATGTTTTTTCACTTGCTAAGATAATGAGCGTGTTTTAGTCACTTTTAGCGTAGTAAAAATGAATGAGACGAGCACATAATCGCTTTCCTTTTATTTTATAAGGCGGTTAACTGCCTGCGTTGTTCCATCCCGCCGAACTGGCCGCACCTAAATAGAAACCACAGGGACATTGCTCCCGCGCCGACTGATCCTGCGCCTGCCTCTACGTTCTTATATGCTTTATTCCTATTTACGAGTTCGCCTGAACGAATTCCTTTTATTCCTGTTTCTCGCATTAGTAGTTTCTGGGGTTAAAAGTAGGGAATGACACATATTTAACTCGTCTGTGTATTTTAAATGTTGCTTGATGTAATCCTTGAATTTTCCTGTTTTTAAAACGTTTCGTTGATGGGTCATTAAAATAACGAAAGCAAACATCAAGCTTACGCAATGTAGGTAGTAAAATTTGGCCTCGTTTGTGGTATTTCCTGGAGAGAACTGCAGATATGTCCAGGATAATTTGACCTATCTTCAAAGTAAATACTTTTTAGGAAGAATTTCATGTTTGCTTTTCTTACTCAGAAAAAGTTCATTGATTTCCAGCGGAGATAGAATAGTTACACTTTAGCCCCTGGGTGTAATTTTGAAAATCGTGATCTTCTTTGGAGATCCAGACAAGATTTTTGGATTTAACACGCAGGCGGTGGCTCATCTTTCAAAAAATAAATTCTTTATTTTACTTTACTTAGAGGGAGTAAATGTAACGCAGTGATTTTGTTCTCTTTGGTGTTCACCTTTCACTGCTGACTCCCTAAGAGTGAAAGGCAAAGTCATTAGTCGCTCTGGATGTAGTACCTATATATAGAGCATTTTCGTCGTAATCTATCTAATATTTCTTTTTTTGCATAAATAGGTAGGTAGTTAGATAAACGCAGGATTTTCGAATTTAAATTTATTGTTTCATACAAAAATGTGTGCCTACCCGAATTGTTGACATCTTCTTCAACTTGGTACCTCGTGGCTGTGAATAGAAGACAGATTATATTTAATTATGGAATAGATAGTCATCAACAGCTCCGGCGTAGAATATCTGCCGCTATTCAGTAGCTTTATTTTCTATTTTATTTGTGTCGCGCTATTTCGGAACAGAACGTGCGGCACTTGTCTATTACATGGCGGCATATGTATGTGATGGCCGACGCCTGCTGGATGCCGGGACTAGAAGTTATTCTGTGAATATTTTATGAATAATCGTTTACATGTCTCAGGAAGCATGTGATATGTAGAAAAAGTCTCTTTATATACGCTGTTCACGTCGTTCAAAGTTATAAGTACCTTCTTACGCAATTAGTTACCCGTGTTGTACCATTTGACAGTGTAAATATAAAAGTATATCAATGTAACAAATAAATATCATTGTTTTCCACTTTTAGCTCGTTTGTTTACACGTGTCAATATTGATGGGGTACGTAGTTGGTCAGATTCAAGCGGCGCCAGCGGTTGCACGTGCCAATAATATCCAAGACGCACGGCGTCATTCAAGAGGATGAAACTGCGCATTTCCAGAGACCTTTTAACGACGAGCACCCACATCCTCTCCATGTTAAGCAAACGTCTTAAAATATAAATTTGCGTAATCCTCCGCAACACCCATATTCCAGCTATTTTCGATATTTACGTCGTTGGCACCTCGAAGTGTGATTAGATAGGCAAATCAAATAAATTATAGAAGATTTTTACATTACAAAAAGGTACATAAGTCAGATTTACTAGTGCTTTAAGTACATTACCTAATCGAATAAAGTATAATAAGATATTAAAAATCGCAGCATGTCATGATTCGGATACAGATTCTTTCAACAGCCCATATAGACGACGACAGTAATGAGTAATAGACTGACGAGTCGCAGATTTAATGAACTGTAATACTCTCATTTGTTACTGAATACTGCAATGGCGATGACAGCTTCAATGAGTAGAATAATAATAATGTGAGAGACAAATATTATTATCTTGTATATAATAGTTCGCGTGGCGTGATTCATTTACACGTGATACTGCTAGTACTCCCAAATTTTCTATGAAAGATAAACAGTGAAAATATCCATTGCATCTGCAGATCGAGCATGGGTGACACTGGCAACCAACGATTCCTATGGGCTGGGAGCCTTGGTTCTTGCACATTCCCTGCGCCGCGCCGGCTCGACATACCCAGCCGTAGTGCTCATCACTCCGTCCGTCACTGAGGCTATGAGGTATTTATCGCAATAGTTAACACCTACATGTTCCACAAGACACGTGTTATTTTTGAAAGTGAACCTACACTATAACTTTTTAAGATGCTTTTCGCAAAACAAAAATTCGCAAAAGTTACTACACTAGTTCTTAAACTAGACTTATTACAATAAACCTACATGTAGAGTAAGATACATTTTGAATATTGCCCTATTTAACACGTGGGGAAATAATAAAAATAACAGAGGTGACATACTTATCTTCTAGTAAGTGAAAGTACTTCATTATCATCTGTCGCCACAGTTCATTCACGAGATGGTAATGTGAACTCGTTAGTCTTGTAACTATAGGAATAGGAATGTTTGCCATTGGTTCCTCATAATGATATTTTTTAAATTGGTACATTTTGTTATATGTGTGTCCTCTGTAACTCCGACTCATAATACGATTGTTTGAGTCATGCAAACTCTGACAGTAGGTAGTTCGTTAACGAGAAATCAAAATATTGATAAACACAGGCATTCAAACGCGAAGTAAAAACAAACAAAACCTGTAGTATACCTTACGTGAAGAAGGAACGTAATTTTAATCAGGGTTCGAAATTATCAAAACATTTCTTTTCTTTGATAATATCATGATAAATATCTGATAATTATCCGTGCTGATTCACAGATGTCACTTTCATTTTAAGTAGAAATGCTAAACAGTGAGAAATTTAAATACACATGGAGAAAATTGTATGGGGTAAACGATATGGTTTGTGACTTTTTTGGATACGTCAGTTTGAATACGTCTCTGATACAAACATGACACGATATTGCTACAGGTAACATTTCTTTCCAATTAATTTTATAAATATCAAGATAATCATTAAGGTATATTTATCAAGATAATTAACGTGATAATGACCATGATAATTATCATGCTATAAGCCAGGGTTCAAAGTGATAATCATCAATGTTAATTATCATTTTGAACTCTATTTTTAATACGCCTTTAATAATTTTCCTCAGAGAACGTCTGAATGCAGTGTTCGCGGAGTTGATAAACGTGGATGTGCTAGATTCGCGCGATGCTACTCATTTGGCGCTCCTACAGAGGCCCGAACTCGGCATCACCTTCACAAAGATCCACTGCTGGAGTCTCACGCAATTCGAAAAATGTGTCTTCCTTGATGCTGATACCCTGGTGAGTAATTCCGATGAAATTAGATTTTAAAATGACATCACTACGTATTCCTCTCTCATAATTCCGACGATGGTGAGTAAAATCAATAAAATCACACACAAATCACTCCTCTACTCCAAATCGCGTGATTCTGCTTTATTTAGGTACCTATGTTTATACAGTTGTACATGTAATATGTAGTGGTTACAGTATCGATTGTGCCGGCGCCCATGCCTGATAAACTTTACGGTCATATAACTTGATCTTTTATTACTTTTCAAACGTAAAGTTCATTACGTTATATTGTATTACATTACGTTGAACTGTAACGTATTTGACATAACGTACATAGATAAACATTAATATCTTTACATAAGCTTAATTTTGAAGTTAAATAACTTGTAACAAATTCTTCGCAAACGTCTATAAATTAAATATCTACATAGTGTGTAAGAAATGAGGAGAATAATGTGAAAGTAACAAATTTCTTACGTTTCTCAAGTTTGGTCACATGAAGAAAGTCATTCAAATAATAATGCGGGTTAGGTATGAACTCGTATCGATATCTCCTCGGCCGACCAAACCAAACCATTAACGGTCATCGTTTTAAATGAATAATGTGATCCATTCACATGAGTTGCTGTGGGCGGAATTAAAAACACAACGTGGCTGGATTTATCTGCTTGCTTTTCTCATTTATTTATTTCTATATTCATTACTGCCTCCATGGCCGAACGGTTACCATGCTGGTCTGCCACGCAGAGGTCCTGGGCCGGGATGAATAATTGTACGGGCTACATTTATTTCTCTCGTGAGTTTGGATGTAATTTGTGGTTGTCTATGTGTGTGTTCATGGCACCCGCGATACAGAGGGTTTTCTTAGTGCGAGACATCGAGTGTGTGTGTGTGTGTGATTTATACATATATATATATATACAATTACAACTTTCGACAGCTGACTGATTTTCGTCGTTCGACGTTGTAAATCTATTTCGATGTGCACGAATTGTTTACACGATAAGAAAGTCAATGTTACCGGATGTGGACGTTAACGCAGTAACACGAGATGATGACCCGCATAACCGTGGCCTAAATACTTGCTCCCGACAAATTTTTGGATAGTCTCCAAATTATACTTTCTACTATGTTCACGTAAATGCAACTGACGTGCCTCCTGATGGAAAAGCTTTTAAATACAACAAACCTAGTATACGTATATGTATCCAATAAAAAAAATTATGTAACAAAATATATAAATAGCAAGACTTTTCAATTATGAAATGTTTCTGCACAAACATAAACAATGCGATAGTGTTTCGATGGAATCCATTGACTTGTCAAGTTTTTTTTTATCTTGGGTTATTGTGTCAACTGAGGCTTTATCCGTACGCAGATAAAGAACACGCCTTGATAAAATAAATTTTTCTAGAGGGCACGTGGAAAGAAAATTGGCATGGGATTGCGTCGCTCAACTTTGGTATGAAAACATTGAAATAAATTTGTACGAGACTAAAAAAATAAAACCAATTCAAGCGTCCAGCGGGCGGCGGCTCTGTTATGCGTCGTACCTAGGTAATATTTAATAACGGTAGCGCACCACTATTTGTGTGAAAGATAAAATTAATAAACCTCATCATAAAACCGAGTGGAGGGGGGCTTAGAATTCGATAATGATTTATATTTGCTTTCTTAGGTAGGTAACACATGTTTAGATCAAAATCTCCTTAATTGACTCAAAAACGCTCGAGTTGGGTCAGTTAATATGTATTTTTGGGTATTCCTTTACAGATTGTTCAAAATTGCGATGAGTTATTCGAACGAGAAGAACTGTCAGCGGCGCCAGATGTCGGCTGGCCTGATTGCTTCAACTCTGGTGTCTTCGTGTTCACTCCTTCAGCAGATACGTACTCCAGATTGATCAGTTTCGCACAGGAACGTGGCAGTTTTGACGGTTAGTACTCCCTCGTAAACATTTTTGAACAGATGCTTATACACAACGTTTTTTTTATTTGAACTTTCAGTGGATTCTTTCACGCTTTGTAAATAAGGACGCGTGGGCGTTCGGCCCTGAACAGTTGGCCTCAAGAAATATTCTGAAATTATGCTGTTATTAAAAACATTTATTTCTACATAACAATGACAAAAAATATATGAATAGCACCACACAGACAGGGAATTAATGAGTTTTGTTGTCCATCAGGTGGTGACCAAGGATTGCTGAATGCGTTCTTCTCCGACTGGGCACGTGGCGACATCAATAAACATCTTCCCTTCCTCTACAACGTCACATCCGCCGCCTTCTATTCATATCTGCCTGCTCTAAAACAGTATATCGATTTTACGATTTTATATTTGAACGTTAATTGAGATTGGTCCTTTGCAAAAAGACGTTTTCAGACATTTGAAATTGATTCTTATTGCTCTGGAACTTTGGGCTCGCATTAAATCCGGAATTAAACGCGTACCGGCTGAGACATCATTTCGAACTCGAGATGGATCTGACGATTCACTGTATGAATAGACTATGATCATCGCCAATGGTATAATTGATTATGATTAAGGGTCGAAACACAAAACAGCGCAGAAAACTGCGACGGAAATTGCTGCGATGCGATTTCGTGCGGGAAGGCATCCCACTGTCACGGTTTGGGTAACCATTCCTTGGACGACCGTCAAACATACTGAACATATTTTTCAAACTAGGTAGCGACATGGATCTTAAAAAGAGTGTTGCACTGCTGTTATTGATAAGAAAGTATAGGAAAAAAAACAAACAAAGAAGTTTAACATCGCAGACAAGCGCGAGCAATTCGAAAATTCTTGCCATGCGTCGTGCGAGATCGTAGATTTCTGCGGTGCGACGTCGCATCGCAATTTTGTGTTTCGACTCTTAATAATGTTTAATTATTAAGTGTAAATTAATAATGTGTAAAATTTTGAACCGAAACTTAAGTATGAAGTGACGTTTATTAACAAGTAGAATTTCAAACAACCCTCAAATGATGCTGATAATAATGAAGTAATCGTTGATGTGCACTGAAATGATATTTATTACTGAAGACTTCAGAAACATATTAAAATAAATCCTGCTAATATATACATATTAAAATAAAGCATCTCAAAATGCTTTTATTAATGCGGACCTTGGAATTTTTGTTGAACGCTGTGTGTCTTTTAAATGCTTTGGATATAGTAGTAACTGCTGAATCACAAATATATCAACGGCATTTTTAATTTGTTATTCCCGTATTTTTTTTCTGGAGTCAAAATCATAAATTATTTTGTTTTTTATTTCTTTTATTATATCGCACTGTTAATACAACAGTGTATTAACTCGAAAAGTGTGTTTTCTGAAAATCGATAAATTATTAAATTACGCACTTTCCGTGAAAGATCATTAAAATTTATGTTGACATGTAGAGAGTCAAATTTTACATTCAGTAATGGTAGAATCTTGAAATTAACATATTTTGAGTTACAATACTATTGTAATAGCAGTGCGATGTATCTTTATTATAATGTTTTTTTTTAGTTATGGTCAAAATCTGAAGATAATCCACTTCATCGGCTCCGCTAAACCGTGGCTCCAGCAGTTTAATTGGCAGTCCCAATCTGTAGATGCGCCCGAACATTTGCGCGAGTTCCTCCAATTATGGTGGGATCTCTTTGTGTCCCAAGTTCACCCACAACTTGACACTGCTATGGTAAGTTTGATTATATCGCAATAAGTGTTCAAAATATTTAAATAACAATGTTTGTTTTAAAATTAGGAAATATGTAGTTCAGTTGGACACCGAATCAGAACCTATCTTACTTCTTCTATTGCAGTGAACATAGGCAATTTTAAACTTTCCAATTTGCACAAGATACCTTTTTTTTTGGAAAGTACCTAGATTAGTCAGTAAATTATTATGATTCATATAATTTATGAGTTATACAAGACTCGCAAATGATTATTTTGTTCGCAAACGATTCTTATAGTCTTCAACAGTCAATTTTAATAAATATAGACGTACATTTTTTGGTTAGATATCAACATTGTTATATTGTGTAGGTAGATTTTATACTTGCTGAAAATGATACACCTTTTGCGGTTTCTCTCGTGACCGCAAGGGTACAACGTTTTTCATAGACGTAGTAAACAGAACCATTTGCCTACTAGTCTCAGATCTGAACACTGCACTATGTTTTCCAAGCATTCCAAACAGGATTCCAATATTGCAGAGGTGAGATTTTTGGACAATTTAGCAATTCGTAATTTACGATATACTTTAGTGTTCCAAGCAAGTACTTATTTATTTTTGTCGCATTTCGTCGTTTAGTTATATGATGTTATTTGTCACTTTTTCTTTTGCTCCTTTAATGTTATGTGAGAAACCCCTTAGTGACTAAAATGTAAATGCTTGCATTTTCAGTACAAGCTTAAGCACCGTTTCCGCTATTCTTTTGCACCTTTTGCACTTGTAAATTACATTCTTAGAACGTTTCCCAAAATACTAACATTTTCTAACGGCTAAAGTTTTGGAACTCAGTACACGTTGTGGCACGTCTATTTGAAATTTGGTTATGGGATTGAGTAGATGGTGTTGGTATTTTGGTGAAATTGTCACCACGACAACTACATAAACATACTGACTACGTTACCAATTAGCATTAAAAGCTTTTCGCCTTTTTCTCACGTTAAGTGGTTTTGTTTGTTCGTAACTATTATTGAGATATTCAGTATATGTATGTTTATTTAGTAGTGCAGTGGTAGTGTTTGATATATAATACTAATGTCACTTGGACAAAGCTTTTACCACTTTAACAGCCGTTCGTGTGCGTGAAGCTTCGTTCAAGTGTTTGTTTGCATGCCACTGAGTTATTTTGTCCCTTGAATCGGTAGGAGTCGACCATTGAAGTGGAGGAAGCACTTCCAGAAATACCTGAATATCCAGAAGACACCGAGTATCACTATGAGCCAATATTGGACCCTGGATCAGAATTCCCCTGGCATCACCCAGAATCCCAAAATCAAGAATCAATAGAGCAAAAACATGAAGTCGACTTTTCTCAAATCCACGACCCGTGGATGTATTACCGCGGGAATATTCTCCCAAATGTAGGCAATTCTAGAACTCAACAAAGCGCTTTCGAAAGTCAAGACGAGATAAATAAAGTTTTAAGTGAATACCGATCTCCGCAACAAGAGTACAATCCGAATTATTTTGAATCAAACGAACAAACTATATGGCACCAATCACATCAACATAGTCAACATAGCCATTCTGATCATCAGCCCTCTGAGTATCATTGGGAAAGGCACCAATCACATCAACATAGTCAACATGCTCATTCTGACCACCCCTCTGAGCCCTCTGAGCATCAATGGGAAAACAGTTCTCGTCATCATAAATTCGATTATTATCGGAATGCCACTTATGGTACTCATGCTCATCCCTCATATTCAAGTGAACAGCAATGGTCCTATGGAAATCAATCATACCCAGATAACACAAATCATTACCACAAAGATAATTCATTACAATCAAATAGTGAAGAACACGCACACGGTCATCGTTATCATACAGAAAATAACAATTCATCAAATTCCCTAGAGCCTCCTATTCGCGATTCTCTATTCATCCAAAACAAAGAACAAAACGGTTATACTCATTATGCCAATGCCTATCCTGAAAGTCACACACAAACGCGACTCGATACTAGAGACAGGCAGGAACAGAAAAGCTGGGTATCACACACTCATAACGAGCCTCGACCACAGCAAGTGTATCAATTACACCTAGACACGAGAAACCGCAAACAACGACGCCCAAGACCCAACAGGCAGCATTTGCACACACCTGCTTGTGGATTGACAAATGGGCATAGTTCTGATACAGACAGTGAAGAAGAATATATTATACCGAGGCATCCTTACGATGGGTTTTATTTAAAACATAGGCCTACTATCGATGCCCGTGGAAAAAAGATATGTTCGCATGAAATACCACCGGCCCCTTCACCATCTCCTTCGTCATCTCCTCCGCCAGAATCTCTGCCGTCACTAGAAAGTGGGTCAGTGCACTCTGAGGATTATCACACAGCAAGTGAATGTGAAGAACAAGTAAGTCAAAGTTTTCCGAAACATACAAGGTTTACTCTAGTAAACACACAAATTTTCAACAATTTCTGCAATGAATGATGTTCCAAGTAATCAGGTAACATTAAGTGTACGAATTTTGCCAGTAAATAATCAAACGTAGATTATCTTAGATTTGCATGCCTTTATATCCTTCTGCACGTAACTATTGTAACTATGCATATAACAACACTGACACTAATATTTGCTTAGGTATTTCAACAGTTTCTTACGCGAATAGAGTTGTATCGAAATAATGTTATTCAAAATCTGTTTCAGAGCGGTGTGGCTGGTAATCTAGCACGAGTGGTGCCAGGTGATGTTGGGTACCAGCGTGAAGCTATTGATGAGCTTTCACGGCGTCAAGGATGGGAGGCAGGCAATATTGATTATATGGGCGCTGACTCCTTCGACAACATTTGGGCTAAGATTTCACAAACCTTGAATCAAACACGTACTTCGCCGCCCAAACAACCGTCGCCTCCGCGTAAAGAGCCTTCTCCTCCGAAGGCACCAGAAGCCCAACCGCCTACTGCTGCAGAACCTGCTGTTGCTGTAACAGCACCAGTAGCAACAGAAACTCCTGAACCTGCTGTGGCAGAAACTCCTGTACCTGCTGCAGTGGAGACTACAGCACTTGCTGCGACAGAAAGTTCAGTTCCCGCTGTTGAAGAAACACCAGTATTGGCTGCGGCAGAAACATCCGCACCTATCACGGCGGAAACTTCAGCATCTGTTGCGACGAAAACTTCAGTACCTGCTGCGGCAGAAACTCCAGTACCTGCTGCTGCAGATACTCCTGCTCCCGTTGCGGTAGAAAGTCCAGCAACAACAGAAGCACCAGTACCTGCAGAAATTGCTCCAGTACAGACAGAAACACCTGCACCAGTCCAAGAAGAAACACTTGCGCCAGAGCAAGCTGCTTTACAACAAGAAGTACCAGTGCCACCAGCAGAGCCTTCGTTGTTAGTTGAGCCTGCTGCACCAGAAGCCGTTCCATCGAAAGAAGCAGGAGTTGCAGCTGTTTTAGTTGAGCCTCTGAAATTAGAACCAGAAGCGAAACCAGCGCAGTCAGAAATCCCAAAAACAACAGAGCAGGTTATCGCTATAGAAAAGACTGAACCCGTAGTACCACCTACACCTCCCGCGACACCAAAATCTACACCAGAGGCCTCACCTCCAGTTTTGGAAACGCCTCTTAAAATAGAAGCCACGAGTGTAGTGCGGAGTGCGCCTGCAGCAGTGGAGTCTCCTAAAGCTGCAGAGTCAGCTCAAGCAGTGGCTGCATCACCGGCGCCCGCGGCTGAGACGCCGGTCATCCCAGTGCCACCAGCTTCGGCTCCTCTCGTGGCCACACCTGAAAAGCCATCTGAAACTTCTGTTGCCTCGACAGACAGTCCACCTCTAGCCAATACACCGTCCAAAGAAGAAGCCCCCGCTGCTCCGGCTGCCAAATGTGAGTAAATAATACTGAATCAGCATCAGACTAATAACGGCTTTGCACTTTCAGTTCTCACAGAGTTCATTTTGCAGTTTAGACTTTTACTAATCTTATACTTAAGCATCCATTTTACGAAGATCGTAATGTGAAATATCCTCGTGTCTCTCGTAAAATTGGATGGCAGCACATGTTTTTCTTTGTGCCGTTTTGTGATGTTTTTGGTTTTTATTGTTAATTTTCATATATGAGCATAAGTTACAAAATACGTTGTTATTTCACCCAGCTACCGAGGAAGCAGCTCAAGAGACGCGGCTTTGATACAGCAGGTAATAACCATATAAGACTTGGACTCAATACAACCTGTGCTGTCCTTGGGCATTTATTTAAATTTTATTTCCAATGTTAAATTTGGTGAAGGTGTGACAGTTCCGTGTTCTATCAAATCACAAATAACTAGGAATCTATATACTACGTGCTTTATGAAACGTCACTTTCTTGTTTCAGTTTTAATGTTTAATTGCTTTGCCTTGGACATAGTTCATTTTGATGCGAAGTATAATAAATAAACCTATTTAATCGGCGGATGTTGGATTGCGTCCAAGTAGATGCTGTAATTAGGGACGTTTAGTCTACGACTCAATAAGCTATTTCTGGGACAACCAAGGAATTTCATGACTTCGTAAGATAAAATAGAATAGACCAGTATGAGTTATGTATCACGGTCATTTAATCCTTGCTCTAAACAAAAAAAACCATTTTATGTTACTTTTGAGAGCTCATGTTTGTGCGCCATGGATGAATCTTGCCCAATTTTGTTTCATTGTCTACAAAGTGTGTTGATGATGGTAAAGTTTAGCTCGTAACGTTCGTAGTGCCAAAAATTCTTCAAAATTATATTAAGGCTCATTACTTTTATTTGTTTGCTTTTCATGTCACATTGCAAGGAACATTACTATACGTTTCTTTTCTGTAGTAGTTATAATCTTCTAGAGCGGAGTACATTTCATGTACTAATTGTTGCGAATATCTTTCACAAACAATGCCCACTGCTAATACTAAAAATGTTATCATGTGTTATCGTAATAATATTCCTTGTAACGATTTCAGCTTCGTATTTCCTATAAACTTACACTTACTTAACTTTCCGCTTGCATTTTCGAGTTAACCACGTAGCTCTGTTTTCCCTCGACTTTGTTCCAGGCCCTAACCGAGCTTGCTCTCTAATGTGACCGCCATACTAACGCCTCGTCTAATCGAAAGAAAATAAAGGCGGGAATGTTGGTATTGTAGCTGAGGAGCGGCGTAAGCCCGCGGGCAAGTTGCAGCTGAGCCCGCCAGCCGCCGCAGACCCACTGCCTACACCCGACAGCGAAGTCGAGGACGCAGCTGCGCTCGCGCATGCTATCATCGCCAGCGAATTGTCCGCCACTGTCACCGCGCCCTCGCCCTCTGTCGACCCTGCTTCTCCTCTTCCATCGAAGGAGGAGAAAAAACTTTCAGTAGAGGATCCCCAGGTGCCAACACCACCTGTTTCACTCGAACAAATCGGAGTCAAACCAAAAGGAAAAACTACAACAGCCTCACAGATAGAATCGTCCATAGCGGAGAAGGCTGAACCTGCTACTCCCACGACTCCCACGCCTCCCACGACTCCCACGACACCCTCCACACCTTCCACACCCAGCACGCCTACGGCGGAAGCGCCGAAAAAGAAAACTGTAAAAAAAATTGTTAAAAAGGAGGCAGGCCCGAGCGGCGATGTGCCTACTCCGGTGCCGCCACCGCGCAAAAAGGAAAAGAAGCCCAAAGAAAAGTGAGCGCTTGAAAGCGCCTGTAAGTTCCTTTGTGCCATAAGCGTAGTCTCTCCTATTTATTTTTAATGTCTATTTAATTATTTACGAAATGCTTTTTGTACTGTGTAACCTGTTAAGAATATTTTTTTAATGTCTAATCGTCATCACAAGTCCATAGTTTTATAATAGTTGTAATTTTATTTTACTTTTACTTTATGATCATGAATTCAAATTACTTTGGCTTTGTCCGTTTGAAATATAAACGCCAAAGGATGAAAAATGTATTTACTAAAATGAAGTTTTTTTATGTAAAATTTTTGTATTAAAAGTTTATTTTTGAACACAGCTGTTTTTGTTAAATGTATTTATAACAATTCTTCTATACGTGTTGCCTGTTAAGTAAAACATAAACTTGCATAATTAAATCAAATTTTTAACTGACTTCAAAAAAAGGAGAAGATTCTCAATTCGATTGTATTTATTTGTGTGTCGTTTACTTCGGTATTTGTGAAACGCGTTAGTTGATTCTTTTTTTTGTTAGAAAGCGGGTACCTTAGTAGTGATCCCATTCAAATTGGAAGAAAATATTCCTTCTCTAAGTGTGGCAAATTATGGGATGAACCGATATAATGGACTTCACCCACTTTCCGTTAACCAACAAGCATTAGTTGATTCTTTTTTTTGTTAGAAAGCGGGTACCTTAGTAGTGATCTCATTCAAATTGGAAGAAAATATTCGTTCTCTAAGGGTGGCAAATTATGTGATGAATCCGGTACATTGGACTTCACCCACTTTCCGTTAACCAATAAATTTTCCGTTTAACAAATTTTTGAAGACGGAGGATTTTTTTTTATAAATACGTTATAATTATTAAGTATAAAATTAACTCGCATAGAAACATACGCATTCATATATTGACGATACTCATACACTCGTACATACAAAATGGTTTTATATTTAGACTAGCAATTATTTTTATATAAATTGTCATTTGCTGTAACTGCCTGTAAACTGTGTAGGGTTATCGTGTTACGCATAAATCTTGAATGCCAAAAAATATTGGTTTACACGTATGTGATAACAATAATAAAAAAGTTAAAATTGAAAAAAAAGAGTCTCCCCGGCGGGGAATCGAACCCCGGTCTCCCGCGTGACAGGCGGGGATACTTACCACTATACTACCGAGGATACGTTAGTATTGATTGAAATTAGTGTACAATTCCGCATGTAAAGTAAAAATCCACCTATACGGTTGATAATTTCAGTACATTTTGTAAAAAAAACTTGAAATTATTTGTTTATCAAAGTTATTTCCTATGTTCGATTTTTACATAGATAATCTACAAAAAGTTCAAAACTTCATTTTGGTTGCCTCATAATTTATTATATCATCTGATGTTCAGACAATAAATAAAAAATGTTAGTGAACAAATCGTTTCATATTAATATTTTTTTAAATGTGTTGTTTCAAACTCCTGCCATACCTATTCATAAAATAACTAGTCAAAAACGCTTACGTACATACACCATCTGGTGTAATATTTTATTACAAAAAGGCTACCTCTTTTGAGCGAATAATACCTCTGGGTCATCATAGAGGGCACAAGTGATTTGGTTGTGTTGAGTTAGTATTGATAAAATATTGTAGATGGCGAGACTTGTCTGTCAAAATAATTGCAATATTTTTAGTTTTCAAGTCTTCACAAGTAGTCTTTACCAAAGAGTACATTATATACACTGATGTCTTTATAATAAAAATTATTATACCTACCTATAATTTAATAGATGTGCCGTAGTTAACAGTACCAAGGTCCAACTGATGTAATTGGTAGGTGTATACAATTTTCTAGGTATGATAATAGGTGGTAGGTACCGCCAGCTTTTTGTCAACTGTGAATGAATTTAACCTATTAATTAATAATTCGTAGTCCTAAAAATATAGCATTATGCACCTACAGTAAAGTTTCATAATATAAAAAATTTGATATGACCGGCTTTGTACGAGGAGGGTACAAAATCCCAAAGAAGAAGAAAGAGTTGAGTAAGTGTTATATCGAGGCTCTCTGCTGTCTCTCTTATCGAAACTGTTAGCACTTGCTGCCCAACGAGACGTCGTAAATTAGTAAAACATGTAATATTATACAGCAGATAATAAAAAAGTTGTACGTATGTAATGTACGTGTTGTAAGTTGTGTTAAAAAGAATCTGTTATGGCTGAGTAAACCTCAAAACCAGTATACAGTAGGCACCAAAGGGTATATGTCATTTTACAAATCACAAAGTCAACAAAAACCTTAGGCTATGGAAAACCGACGAATTTCTCACAGACAGAATACACTTGTTGATAGTCACAGCACCATCTAGCGAAGAGAAACGATTTTTTCTCAGCACTTGTCAAATCCTGCTGTTACAGCTAGTAAACACACACAGAGAGAGACTCGGAGGTGCATTTATATTCACTTACTCACACTCCTAAATAACCAGTTTGACCGAAACCGTGCTACGGGTGGGTAGTGTTGTGCGTTTTTATAAAGTAACGTTGATATTAACAATGTTTATAAACATATAACACGAGATAACTAGGTTTATGTGACTGTTATTGAATAAATTCACAGGTTTGTGTATGTAAATTTCACCAATTATTCAAGTTCAATTGTATTTTCTTGTGAATTTGTATGTTTTATTCGAGTGTCTCGTCTTGTCGACCAGAACTTGGAATCGTTGAACGGTTTGAAAATGTGAAACAAATGTGTTGTTATTGAACTTTTGGAACCGATGAGGACCTGCTGTCGTTCTTGAAGAAGGGTTATAGTTGTGTGGAACGATGAAGTGGTTGTTGATATGTATCATGCTGCCGGCATGCCTGGCGCACCTCAATGTTTACTTGAGCAGTGCTGAGGTTTGGCGATTATTGGGTAAGTTTTTGGCATTCATTCGTTAATTTTAATCGATGATTGTAATCGGACAACGTGAACATAATACGATATTCGAAATCACTAAATAAGATAGATTATACAGAATTTACTAACAATAACACGGTAATATAACAGGAAAAAAATTAAATAAATTTAATGTAACAAGTTGTGCAATTAACTTTATTACTTAAATAATTCCTTTCCAAAACCATCTGTTAGAATTTGTTGTATGAACTCACTATCTGCCGGTGCCATGCCTGGATATGAGACACGTTTCGGTATAGTTTGATAACGATAACTGAAACTAATTATAACCTTAGAATAATAACGCATAGAAACCTAGCCCGCACACGCAAAGTGAGGCAAGTTAGAGGGTTCCAAACGCGTCCCAGGAGCGCGCGGGCTGTTAGTGCTCAAGGTCATATTGCACCGCGAACAGCTCCAAAATTTTTTGCTAAAAATGACGAAATGTGCGGTAAATGGGTGTAAAAATACAACAGACAAACATAAAATAGACACTAACATCGCATTCCACAAGTAAGTAATGCGTTTCAACTCATATTTTTATGTAAATATTCACTAAAACAGAAAAATAATTTCGCGGCAACAAGATACGAAAGTGTTGCAAAGTAACGAATTTTTTTCTCCCCATTTTGCTATTCTGTTTCAAAATAATTATATTACGTAAATTTTAGTGGTGCCTGTAATTTCGATTTATTTGCGCATCTTGAACAATAATATTTACTTGAATAAACATTAAATGTTTTCGTTAACTTGTGATGAAAGTGATTGGGACACTTAATTATTTTATAATACTTTTAACGGCTCTGCGTTCATGCTTTATTGAATAATTATTTCTTTTAATTTTATTTGAATAGGAGCACATATTGCAACAAATTTACAGTATATATTTGTTTCTACTATAGTGTTGGCACCACCAGTACAACTTTGATAGCTTATTACATGTCTTTATTTTCGTAACTCAAGCGAAATATTTTATATTGAAATATTTTATTTTCTTAAAAGGGGAGCATTCTTAAGCGATTTTTTAATCTATTTTAACAGTTATTTTCTTTAATGTTTGCTTATGGCATTTTCGGCTTTAGGTTTCCAATATGGCACTTATTTCTAAATCCAAGATGGCGGGCGCGATTTTTCGAATAATGGCAAGTTGGGTATCGTTTTCGAGATGTTTGGGAATGTTCAATACAAATATGGCACTCATTTCTAAATCCAAGATGGCAAACACGACAGTTCAAACAAAAGCAATATTCGTAATGAGCACCCTCAAATACCTCGAAAACGATACCCAACTTGCCATTATTTGAAAAATCGTGCCCGCCATCTTGGATTTACAAATAGTGCCATATTCACATTGAGCATCCCCAAATACCTCGAAAATGATACCCACATAGCATTTTTTTGAAAAAATCGTGCCCGCCATCTTGGATTTAGAAATGAGTGCCATATTCGTAATGAGCACCCCCAAGTACCTCGAAAATGATACCCATATTGCATTTATTTGAAAACTCGTGTCCGCCATCTTGGATTTAGAAATGAGTGCCATATTCGTAATGAGCATCCCCAAATACCTCGAAAATGATACCCATATTGCATTTTTTTGAAAAATCGTGTCCGCCATCTTGGATTTAGAAATGAGTGCCATATTCGTAACGAGCATCCCCAAATACCTCGAAAAGGATACCCATATAGCATATTTTGAAAAATCGTGTCCGCCATCTTGGATTTAGAAATGAGTGCCATATTCGTAATGAGCATCCCCAAATACCTCGAAAAGGATACCCATATAGCATATTTTGAAAAATCGTATCCGCCATCTTGGATTTACAAATAAGTGCTATATTCGTTTTTCATCGACAAAACCGAGCATATCTGTAGGCACCTGATCGACATTGTCGATCGACAAAATCGAGCACATCTGTAGGCACCTGATCGACAATGTCGGGCAAATCTGTAGGCACCTTTAACTTAATGATGAGTTAAGCAAGATACAATTTCCCCACTTTTGAGGGAAATGTTATTCCATGGCATCATTATTTGTTTATTTGTGTGCGTGCCGACGAGCGTAGTTACAAGTTGCTTACGCCTACATGAATTTGGTTTTTGCCTCACTTGTGACAGTTCGTTTGATATGAAACTATCATTCTATGCGTTATTATTCTAAGATTATAACCTGCCGACCTTCTACCGACCTAAATACGTTTGGGTTTCAAAATTTAGTACTCACAAACCTACGTAGGTACTAAATATTCTCAATTCATTGTAATAATGGGCACGTATTATTACAATATACTTGATATATATACTTGATTGCTCTTGAGCAAGCGCAGGCTGCAAAACATTGTAGATTGTTAAATGTTTGTGCAAAACCGCCTTATGTATCATAAAATACTTATATTATAATGGTATTAGGTATATACAATATTATATTATAGTAATACATCTCCAATATCCTGTAACTCACACGACAACAAACCTAGCGGAAGACGGATTCCGTAACATCATATCACACACTGTTATGCTAATTATTAACTCGTTGTTCGTATTATTTATTTCACTTCGGTTTTAATGAGGTATATTGTGCCGACTATTTGTTTAACCATTGTGCATTTAACACGTGATATATCGTTCCCTTGATATAATAAAGCTACATGTGTTACGTCTAAAGTTATATGGAAGTCATAAAAATAACGAACTTCATGAAACAAATTACGTAAGTACCTACTTATATAATATGTGAAAATTAATTAAGAACTCTCTTATTTAAACTACAAAGGATTTTAGTTTGATGTTTCTCTTCAAAAGTTGTAATTTTGCAGATGCGACCCTATTGTACAAAGTGTGCCATATTGTGTACCTATTGTACTTATAAAATGTGTTTGTGCTGTGATTTTTACATAATAAACGGTTTTTTTTGTTATACTCTATTTATCAATAAATAGTCGTAAAAACTCTGGAAGTAACCTAGTTAGTTATTATAAATACGTACGTAATTCGTTATTATTGATTACTTAAAAAAGGTATGGAGTTGAGCTGGGTACCTACCTATTCGGTTTTGAGCTACAGGCAGGACACGTCTAATCGTTTATAAAAAAATAAAATATCCAATGTGTGAGTCTAACACCTGCATTATGCCGTCAATAATATCTGTCCACTTAATCTTATTTCACAGCAATTTCAGCTGCCAAAATAATATTTAAGCCGCGAACAATCGCCACAGTATCTCGATCTGACTTTTCAAAGGAATCCTTTATATTGGTGACAAAAAGGACCTTCCTAAAAATACACCCTGTGGTGCGTGTGATATTCTTAGAACACTTCTAAAATCTGCCCATTAGGTAGAAGTTTTTGGAATATTTATAATCCTTATATTAACTGAAACATGCATATGCTCTTTTAGTAAAGCAAGTACGTAATGAATTAACAATGGACTTAATTTCTATTTACCTACATAGGCTGCGGTACAACTATAACGAAAGTACGACAATTTACACAATCTAATTTATTATTCAATAAAACTAGTCTGAGACACATCTATTGCTACTAAAACAAAATATATGAATTTCCTAAAACGTGCAATAGCTTTAAATAGTCAGGCATAGAAACTTGAAACCTCCACTTGATAAGCACGACCTAGTTTAGTCCAGACGCTCACGTTTAAAACATCACTTAAAAAACCTTTTAAATAAACCCGCGAGGTAATTAACTAATTAAATCTTTTGATGACTAGCCGTATTTTCTGAGAAGAAACTTAATCTCAGAGATTTAATTAGAGGAACGTCAAAACTAAAACCTCACTGCTCGTCGTGTCTCTTTTGAGGGTAAGCCGAAGTGACAGATTTACAACGGCCCGTGCGCCTGAGACAGGTAATGGACTTAGCGATTTGACTCTCCTTACAATAAATGCACTTTTTGTGCTCCTTCTATTGTTCCTACCTGCAGCCATAGAGTGCCATCTATCATTGTCACCGGCGCGGCCATCTGCTCATTGTTCTTGCTTAGAAATTAGAATAAAAATAAACACAATGTAAGGAGCAAACGGGACTCTGTCCGCCTATGTGAGACAATTTTAAATGAAAACCTCTAAGAAGTCCGTACATTTTCTTGTTTCTTTTAAAACAAACGCATGTTAACGAAATGCTTTTTAACGAGTAGTCGGATATGCAACATAATTTACTTAGAACAACCTTAACAACACAAAAATTAACGTATCTCTTATCTTTATGAGTTTCATGCGCAGGTTATATTGGTTATATCTGTTGGTTGGATCTACTCAGCAGGTTCTTGGTACATGTGTGTAATTTATTTCAGATGACGTTTATGGTGATTCTATGGAGCCCAGCCAATAAACGCGACGCCTAAAATTCCAATGCGTTTGAATGAATATATTATTCAGATTTCATTAAAAGTAACCATTTCAGCGTGAAACCTTACACTATAATGTGTATTGTCTGTTATTGATATACCTGCTGACGTTATTCCATTTAAACAGAATTCGAAATCATCAAGATGTTGAAAATAAAGAAAATGCTCTTTAACATTATGATAATTATCCATGCTATATCATACTTTTATCTCTTAATTTTTGACTAAAAATGACAGCCGGCGAAAAAAATTAAGTGAACATGAAGAAAAATCTTTGGGAAAACGATTTGATTAGTGACTTTTTAACCGACTTTAAAAAAAGGAGGAGGTTCTCAATTCGTCTGTATGTTTTTTTTTGTATGTATGTTACGCCGTAACCGCATTTGTGAACCGATTTGCGTGATTCTTTTTTTTGTTGGAAAGAGGGTATCTCTTAGTAGTGGTGGTCGGTTTTTTAGTACGCTGTAGTGAGATTATATTCTTATAGTGATTGAAATTTGACACTTGGATACTCAGTCATTTATATCTGGTGCAAACGCATGACACGACATTGCTAGCAGTAGCATTTTGTTGTTCCAATGAATTTTATAAATATCCAAGGGACATTTATGAAG